CGACCACGTGATTTAAAGAACTAGCAGGAGGCATGCAATAAGGACTTCCCCAGTGACTAACTGAATGACTTGGCTGCATCATTCTCCCTCTCAGCTGTCATCTCAGGGCCTGCTCTCTAAAGAGCATCACTGGACTCTGGCCAGTCACCAAGCTGCAAAATTCTTTCTTGTAACTTAAAACAAAATCTAGAGGAAATAAAAAATTAATATCAGTTTTCATGCCAAGCTCCTCAGGGATCAGACAGGATTTCTCCTGGAACTCTGAAAAGACTAACCACAAGAAGACATAATTTAGTCTGTTTATATTATATCACTTCCCCAGGAATAAAAATGCAGGTAACAGAGCTCAGTACAGTGATCAGTTTTATTTTGCAGGAATCCAAGTACAAATTCAGCTTTGCGGATACAGTGTTAAAATTGGAAAGAATGAAAAAAATCTGAAGGAGACGCACTGCACATTTCTTCCGTGGGTTTCTTCTTGTGGATCAGGTGTTGATTTCTTTCTCTCCCTTCCAGAGCCAAAGGCAAGCCCTAATCAGGCTGCCAGGTTTACAATCCATGCACACTCAAGATGTATCATCAGTGATTCTCCTGACAATGTATCAGCTTACAAAAAAGTGTCTGCCTTAACTAAAAGCTGAGTTGATGATTGTCTTCTAAGAAAAGAATATCACATTTCTCCACTTACTCTATCTTGTTAGGTACATAATGGAGGTACTATTATTTCCTTCCTAAAACAGCATCATAGAGTTTTCCAGTCCTCTTGACTTGAACCTCTCCGAAGCCAGCTGCCTCAAGGAGCTTGCTGTACTCTGCTGCTGTTCGCTCTTTTCCTTCTGTCTGCACCAACATATTCATCGAATACAGTTGGGTTTCTAAAGGCCCACTTTTATCTTCATTCAGAAGTGATTCAACCAGCAGCACTCCACCGCCTGGATGAATAAAGAGAAATAAAACACATGCTGAGCTCTAAAAAGATGAGACATTTTTCAGCTGAGTTATTAGATTCTAACCTTTAGTTTCAGGAAGAAGCAGCCTCTACATCAAGTCATAGTTCAGCATCACAGAAGACAATGAAAGAGCAAAAGAATTGGAGCATGCCTCTGCCTGGCTACCGAGGTACCGATGTACTGGGGCTGAAGGGGATACTACGGCTGGGATGGAAATTCCCATTTCCCCCAGCTGAAATCCCCAGGAGCTTACTGAGGGGCTGAAGGGGATACTAACGCTGGGATGGAAATTCCCATTTCCCCCAGCTGAAATCCCCAGGAGCTTACTGATTTTGCAGAGAACCTGGCTCTGTAAGCAGTATTTTCAAAGCTCAAGGATTCAAGGTGATGCTTAATGGGATTTTTACTATGACATATACAGCTGTTTGTCTAAACAATTCCCCAAATCCCCAGTCCTTATACCTAAATATGTTGAAAGAGGAGTCCCTGTGGAGGAGAGTAAAACTGGAAGCCAGATAATGAGAACTTAGGCCTCATTTGGCTCAGCTGCACACAGCTGGCTTAGGAAAGCAAAATACTAAACGAAGAAACAGCTGCACTGAAACTCTGCCACCCAAATCTCACATCAAGACTGGTGTGCTTTGCATAACTGATGGGTGAGAGTCTCCCTGGTCTTCAAGAGCTCACACCTACCAGGTTTGCAAGCCTTGTGGACTTTTGCCAGCAGCTGTCTGCATTTGTCATCCTCCCAGTCATGCAGTATCTTGGATAAAATATACAATTCAGCTTCTGGAATTGAATCTTTAAAGAAGTCTCCTGTAAAGCAAGAATACAAGTATGATACAAAACTCCCAAAACACAGAGGGCTGAGTTAAGCCAATATTCTCAGTTACAGCAAGTTCTAAAGACTCTGGGCTTGCCATATCCATCACCCACATCAGACAGCAACAGTTACTAGGTAAAAGCCCTCTGTGGCACTGCACAGAGGTTTTTGTTCTTGTTCAGTCTCAAGAAGGTCTGAAGTGTTTAAAAGCAGCAGCTCATCTGAAACAGCCTTTGATGCACAGGAAAGCATTTGAGTCTAAGTTTTGTCCAATGACAGGAATTCGGATTCATAAAGCTTTAAGAAGAGGAGACAGTTTCTCATGGTTTCTGTCATGGAAAAAAGGAAAGAATTTTCCCTTATTTAAGCAAATTTTCAAAGACCTGCGGTAACCACAGAGCTACATCATAAATCCATAAGGAAAAAATACACATCTCACCTCCTAGCACTAGCTTCTTCATCATGCCTTTTGTTCAGCACCTGGCATACTGCATTCAGATTTTTCTCTTTGCATCTTTCTTTGTCATTTCCACTCCCATTTCTTTGCACCACTGGCACACATAACATTTCCTGTGTTTGTCCATCTTTGTTCTGATATACTGCCTTCCTTCCTCAAGGCTTCTTTCCTCTCTCTGAGCTTTAAGCAATATTAAGTCATTCCAACGGTTTGAAGGCTTTTGTAAACATTAAAAATTAGATCTCCCTACAATCATTTTCATCATAGATGGTGCAAAGACCATGAAAGATCTATGGACACATTCAAAGCCTGAAATATCTTAGGACTTGAAAGTCAATCAATTGTGATCAGAGAAGGAAAACCCATTGCTCAGGGCAGGCCTGGCATCCCGCACATCTGCCAGGAGGTCTGCACAGGGGAAAAGAGAGTGTTAGGAAGATTTAGAACATGGTATGGCAGTTCTTCAAAATTGCAGGACTTTTTTTTGTTTTGTTTTGTTTTGTTAAAGTTACCCTTGTTCTGAAGAAATCAAACAGTTCTGTTCAGGAGTAAAGAGCTTCTGGGTTCCTGAATAATTAAGTTGTGTCTCTGAGAGAAGGTAGCTGCAGGTGCACAACTGGGACAGCATTGCAGTAGCAATGAATTGCAGGCTTGGGCTGGGGAAGCTGCAGGCTGGGACGCTTTGCCCACATAAGGGGCAGCTGGAGACCTGAGCCTCCAGTATGGTACCTCTGAGCAAAGACAAGGGACTCAGGAGCAACAGCTGTGACAACACTACACTGCTGTTCGCACCTACCTTCGTGGAAAGTGATCCGATGCTCCTCAGGGGGAATAAATTGCTCTTTGGCCACTTGCATGACTTTTGGCAGGTCATAAATTGTGACTGTGGAATTTGGGTACAAAGAAACACACTCCCGGGCTAAAGCTCCTCCACCTCCTTTGGGGAGAGCAAAAGAAGGTCAGTGCTGACACAAAACCAACTTGTTCAGCACCATCTCCATGAAGTGATGCAGGCAATAGTATATTCAGCCTCATGGGAGCTGGCAAGGTACATTTGCTCCCCACGTGTTGCTGAAGGGGAAGAGGGGGGACAGGAGAGGCCACCATCTCCATTTGCTCTGCAGGGAGCCCTCAGGCCCCTGACACCCAGGCCTATGGGGTCAGCCCCAACCCTTACAACTCTTACACACCTCAGCCCTCTTACACACCCTCAGCCAGACCCAGCTGTGCATGCTGGAAGGTGGAAAATGAAAAACAGAGCTGCTAAACCAGGCACTAAACCATCACAAGCAGTGATGGAGCCTGCGAGGGAGCCTGATGGATCCCATGAATCCTGGCAGTGCTCAGCAGCGCTGGGACAGCAGAGCGCTACAGGGTAAAAGGCTGCAGACAATATCTCAATGACACTGACTGAAGTGGAGGAGGGGAAGAGTCGGGAACCAGAAGAATGTATCAAGCAAGGCACAAAAAAATGCCAAACCTGCCATGTACGCAAGGGGATGGACCACTACTCACACAAATGAGGCTCTGTAGAGAAAAACACTCAGCTTCCTAATGCTCTCACCACTCTCACATTTCTCTTTTTAGCCCAACCTCAGTAAAACACTCCCTTTATTGCTGACAAGATTCTGAGATACATCCCGCTTTCCATTGCTTTGCCCATCATACAACATAGGAGTTATTTTTCTTTTCAGAGCTTGTAAAACAAGACAGTTCAGAGGCTTGTTAAAGAAGATCTACTGACGCTCACCTCCCAGGTCACAGATCTGCCTGAAAGGGGAAAGGTCAAATGCAGCAAGAACATCTCTACCACATATACTCCATACTGAGTTCTGGCCAGCCATGAATTTCAGCATTTCTTCTTCTGATCTAGGAATGCAAACAGACACAGTTATGTAGAAAAGGTAATGACAATATCCTTGGTGATTCCTATCATATAAGTGTTATTACAAGTTTTAGCTTAAACACTAATCTCTGTTTTTATTGACACTGAATACATTCTTGTTGCGTATAAACCTACCTTGAGCCTTACTGTAGCAGAAGTGTACAGCTATGCATTCATGCATTTAAATAGCAAATTAAGACTAGAGAAGTCCAACGGTGTATTATGCTGCTAATTCTCAGGCTTCCAAAGGATTTTTTTTTTTCCTTCAGCTACCATTGACTCTGTGCCAGAGACCTGTGATATGTTTTTCAGAATAGGAAATTATATACTTCTATTCAAAATATCAGACAGTGTCTCAGTAATGGATATTGTTGAGAAAGAAAAATGCTGCATGATGGTTCTAATGATTGGAATTCTCACATCATCATATTTAATTGTCCTGAGCCGTAATTAAAAACATTAATTTTATCTACAATAAGACGAATAAAGTTTCTATAAATATACTAATGATTACCTGTACATTGCTCCAAAAGGGTCCTTAGATGAAACGCCAAAAGCTCTTTCATATTGGTTTCTTCCTTCTCTAAAATAGCAACCAAAAAAAGTGTATGAGTGTGGATTTCTTTTTCTTTCACCCAAACATACCTCAGGGCTGCAGTTTCAGCTAGTTCATCACTGTGGAAGGTGCTCAACTTTCTACAGAATATATGCCAGCCTGTTTGTAATGGCTGCAAAGGCACCTTCACTTGCCACCCCAAAATATACTGATAGGTTTCTCAAGAATTCTTTCACAAGAATGACTGGTTCTTTTCAAGGCCAGGTTGGACAGGTAGGAAGATAGTGGAAGGTATGTCTGCCCATGGCAGGAGCGTTGGAACTAGATGATCTTTCAGGTGTCTTCCAACCCAAACCATTCTATGATTCTATGATTTATGGGAACACATCTCAGGTAAAGGTGCGAGACTGGTGCAATCATCACCATCACGCACACCATGTTTGACCATCAGTTGCACGGACTGGAACAAGTGAGACTCCAGCCCCATATTAAACTACTCCTATACACCTTTGCAACAGAAGTATCCTTAGCCATCATTACTGATCATTTACTTTGTTGATGCCTCCTCAAGGAAGACCCATTGTAACAATCAAGTGCTTTCCTGAAGTTCAAACACACAGAAATCTGATTCCTAGATCATCTCTACCATCAGAAAGAAAAGGAAAACAAGAACACACACAAATGGAAAACAAGAAGAAACAAGAACACATGTTGGCTGTGGTAACAGCCGAAACAATCTGTTGGATTTTCTTTCTGAGAACCAGCCAGCATCTTCATTGTGCCCTTCCCCAGAAACACACCAGTCTGAGAGCAGCCACACAGATGCCTCAAAGCAGGCTGCAACAGACGGCACACAACGCTCCTCCTTACCTCACAGCATCGGCCAAGTAGTGCCAGCACAAGTAGACTGTGTTGGAGTAATACATCATAATATGATACTGAGACTTGGGACTTGATTTTGTAAGGTAGATGTTGGAAATTTCTGTGTTTCTGTAGAGGGCTAAAGGGTGAAATAAATATATTTACTAACATGTATGATATAACACCTTGCCAAGCCTATAATACAGCATGGTACTTATCACCAGAAGATGTCTATATGACCAAAGACAAAAACTCATGGCTTCCACAATCAATTCTTCCGCTGCAATGAGCAGTGGGTGAGGGCTACTGAAATGTGTGTTGCGCCATTCAATGTGAGTAAACACTACCTACCTACACTTACTCTGGCATCAAACATTTCTTTCAAGAACAGCAAGAGGAATGCCTTACAAGTGTCATCATTTACCTACAGGCTTTTACTATCAGAGGACGTTATTGGTATGCTCTATTTAAATGAGAAGCCCTTGCAGACAAGTCTTTTTTTCTGATCAACATGGTCAGCAAGTGGGACACAAGTCCCCAAAACATCATGCCAACCAAACCTACCCTCTCTCAGTTCCCTAGGGCCAGACCTTCTGCAGACAGATGAATGCCTAAAGGACTCAGAGAAATCTGCCCCGCTTCCTCCAATGCATCTGCAGTGGCATCACTCACCCACGGGACTGGCATACAAAAGGAATATAAAAGATAGATCCTGCTCTCCCTAAACTCATTGGCCAACTACTGTAAGCCCTAAAACAGGGCAAGACAACACAAACCAGAGCAGAGGACACAACTTGTAAGACTCTGGCTAGTCCTGATCAGCTCAGTTCAGATCAGCAACCATACTTCACATGGTGGTAAAACTCCAAAGAAAAATCAAAAGGTGTTTTTAAATCATGATGTTGCCCATCCACCCTGGCATTTTGTCTTAAGGTTTAAAATCATGCCCACGCCTCAGAGTTTTCTTGAGACCGGCTCTTTAGAGACTCCAAATATCTTCTCCAAGGTCACCTGAGGCTCTTGCACAAAGAAGTTTAGGGATATTGAGCCCTTCACCTGGTTTTTACTTTACACCTTTAATCATGCTGACATTTGGTGCTTGTCATTCAGCTGAAGAGGAGATGGTGTACTCAGGCAATTCTCTCCTCCTTCCAGCTACAGTAACTGGCCTAACACTAGATATCACCTCTCCCCACATACTTTACCTCACCTCACTTTCAAAACCATCAGAGGTTTAAGTCTTTTAGTTTCTTCCCCTTCTTCTGCCTTTATTACCTCCTTCTTGCGTCAGCTCTACTGCCAAGAGCTTCAATCCCACACAGGCATCCAGCAGTCTTTCCATCCCTGTGGTGCTGGTACCCAAGTGTGCAGCAATGGCATCTGAAGACAGAGGCCCTCCTGACTCCAGCAGAAGATCAAACACCCCCAACTCACAGGCAGTGAACATAACCTGGGGGTAAGGAAAGGTGGGAGCAAGGGATCAGGTGAAAGCATGAAAGCCTACTGCATTTCTAAAGCTGCTTTGTTGGAGAAAATATACACATCATATTTTTTCATGTAAAATCATATTTCATATAAACAAGTTCAATGATTAAACTGAAGTTTCTCTGAACACAGATAATATCATACAGTGCTTGTAGAGCACCTTTTTTCATTTCTTTTCCTTTTCTGGCAAAGCCAGCCAACGTTTTTGGCTCACAAAGTTCACATTTAGAGACCAGGTTTCAGGTGTGAATGTCCCTGCCTCTTCTTTAGTTTCAGAGCACATTCTCACAGTCTCTCTTGCTTTTTGCCTGGACAGCGCAAAGGCAAGACTGTGTGGTGATGGGTTTTTCTGTTGTTGTTTTTGTTCTTTAACTAAGGATCTAACGTATGCTCCAGTGAACCCTGGAGACTCCCCTGTGGCTTGCAGCAGCAGGGAATATCCCACTGTATAGACCCTATTTTCAGGGACTGACGTGCACGACTACAGTGGTCTCCCTGAGGCAGGGAGATTCCTCTCAGCTAAAAGGAGTGCCCTATTTGGGCCAGCAGAATTGTTCTGTCTTTTCATAGAGAAGGAAGGTGTGTAACATCTCCAGGAACAACCCACAACCTTCAGACAGACATATGTAACCATACATAAGAAAAACATCCTTTAGCTGTACACAGTCAAATTTACAAGTATTAGCCTATTTCTCTGGCCGCACAAACACTACTAAAACAGTAACAAAGGCATCAACTCAACTGACTGCCTGTATCTACAATGATTTGATAAATTCCCATGGGAAGTTCCTTTTACCCTCAGTAAGAACGTGGTTTAACCAAAGTTGAGATCGTTTCTCAAAAACATAGGATCAGTGTTCATTTGGAAAGCATTGGGCACTCCTCTTTCTCAGCAAGCAAAAGGATTTTTCATTATCCATTTTTCCTCTCTTTACTGTCAGCTCTGCCTTTCAGGAGCCTTAGGATGCAGCAGTATTTGCACAACCCAAAGAGCGTTCCTTCCATTACCACGTTGGCCAGAGGTGCAGCAAGGGACAATAGGAAAGGTAGTAAATGAGGAAAAAACCTCCATTGCACTGGATATTATAATTTTATGCCCATGTGCTTACACACACAGAAAGGCAAATAACATCAGTAAACAATAAGGAAAGTGGAACTACTAGTTCTACCTTTGTGCCTTAATCAAATGCTGTTTGGAACAACAGTCATTATACCAGACTCTTTCTTTCACCTGAAAAGAGGCAATACATAGAAGTCCTCAAGCTCAGCCTTCTGCATAATACATACAGACAAACCACGGGAGAGGGAAGGAAATTCTTTGAGAAGATATTTGAAAAATCTTGCATGTTTTAACAGGGAGGGAAAAAGGCAATTCAAGTCAGCTCTCTGTTTCTCAAACTCCAAAAATGAAAAGTGGGAAGAAAGCCCACCACTGAAGAAACCTTCCACGTTTGAGGCAGTCAGACAGCAAGCCCTCAGCTATAAACTCCTGTGTTTTTTTATAATGCCTCATGCAGAAACAAGGTCTGCCCATCCAAGCCCCCAAAGGTCAGAGGGGTTTCAGTAAATGCTAAGTCTACCCTGAGGGGTAACGTTGCCTTCAAATCTTTTTTCTTTTCAAATTTCCCTCCTGCCTAAATGAGCAGACAGGATACTTTCATTTGAGATGGTTTTCATTCCAAAGACTTCTTTCAGGACCTAAAGTGAGATCCTTGAATATTTCTGTCTGCAAACTCTTAGACATCTGTCCAGGACTGAGTTATATTTCTTACCTTTGAGACTAAAAATCCACTGTTGTATTCCAAGATGGTTTGAGGATAGTCAAGGTCTTCTGTGGAACTCATTTTCTTTCTGGACTGAGGCACAGATTCTCTGCTCTTCTTAATTTAAATAAGCTTCTTTCCACCAGGCACAAAGCACACCAGCTGATCCACTTAATCTTACTGCTTCTGAGAAACACACTGGTTACAAAACCTGTTAGCTAAGTCATTTGGCTTCGATGGCTCTTTCTACCAGGTTCAGCCATTCCTTTGACTCTTCCATCATCAAGTACAAGGCTAAAGAAGCAGTGCAGATTAAAGCTTGCTTGTATTGTCAGTTCAGCAGCCGGTTAACATGCTGGTACTTCAGAAGCACTTGAAAGCTGTAACAAGCAAAACAGAAATCAGTAGAGAACAGCATCAAGAACCTGAACTCAGTGCGATGCACCAGGAGTTCATAAACCAAAGTGGAGTCTTACTCGGGGCTTGTTCAAAAGCAGCTCTACTCCATTGGGCTGGCTTTTTGATGCTAGAAGACTTCCCAAGAATAAAAATCCTTACGTATCCCAGTCAGCCCAATGACGTCACCCCAGAGGAAAGACGACAATTTGGCAACACAATTCTTCAAGTGAAATGCGAACGTTCCCAGGGCTTTAAGACTGAAGGAATACCAGCTCAGCTCAAAGCGGTGACGGCATACTCCTGGCCAAGCCTAGCATCTCCCACAGCCCTAACTGCACTCACCCCTCACTCAGGCCTATGCACAGCACTTACCTTCACCATACTGAAACAGAGACTTGTTCAGCCTTGGGCCCCGGGTCATGTACCCAGGGCCTCCGACCTTTACCCATGCAAGGAAAATGTCTGGCATAACTACTACATAGCAGGCAAGGGCTGCCGAGGAAATAATCTGACAGCAGAATCCACACAAGGAGCTGAAGGAGAAGAAAGCATCCTACCACAGTCTGTGCCTGGAATAATTTCCATCCAGGTGTTGAAAACCTGAGTGTGCTTCCCTGGCCTGGTTTGCAAGCCGTGCCCACAGAAAGGATAAAAGAAACATGTAGCCAGAGGGGAGCTGAAACTTGCTGTGACAGGCACAGGTCCAGGTGACCCTGGGGCTGGCAGTAGGGTACACCCCATCCCTAAGTGCAGAAGCAGCCAGTCCAAAGAGAAGCTGTAAGAGTCTGTTTGTTGTGCTGCTTTGTCACAGTGACTAGTTTGCTCTGACAACGATCACTCAGGTGAAGTCTACAAGGAATTAAATCTACTCTTGTTCCTTTTCTGCATTTTGCAGGTCCCCTCACATACCTGTTTGATAGCAGCACCACAGCAGGGGTGTCCTACTTGTGCTTTGCCATGTTTTGGCAGAGCAGGGTGCTAAGGGATGACAAAACATTCTACATTTTCCAGCTGGCTGCCACAGTCTTCCTCCCCTTCTCTGCAAAACTAACCAGGGGCATGCAGCAAATCCTTGGAAAGAAAGAACGAAATGACTGCCAAGTGTCAGATGTGGCATAGATTTCAACTTCATGCAGAACATACCTCATAGGTCTTTCATCAGAAAATTAAAACCCTGGGTTACTTTCCTGAAACCTCTCTGCCACACTGTCCATTGCTCCAGCTTGTAAATGCCTGACATCTTGCCTTTTTGGGCAGACTCTGCAACTCTCGGGTAAGAAAAGACTCTTTCCATCAAGGAAAGACTTACAGTTTTTATATCACACATTTAGCAACCCTTCAGGCAACAACATTAAATGAGACCTGTCTTAGGTAATACAGTAATGGCAAAATGTTACAAAACAGCATTTTTTCAGTGGTAGCTTTCTCCATACTTCAGCGATTAAGTTAATGGGCGAAACTTGAGCGATGCAGTAATCAACACGCTGTTCAACATTTTGTGTAAATTAGCTTGGTGCATGTTTAAAGACTGCACTTTACAACTTTGTCCCAACACAACATTTTAATGTTCTCTTCCTTTCCTAGGAAGTAGGATTGTATTTACACGCTGCTGCTGAAGGTTAGTTCTGTCCTTCTCTTTTGAACCTGCCTCATTTTAGAAGTAACAGGCCAGTATAAAGTTTTCCGTATGTTCCTTCTGACCATTTTGTGGATGCAGTGAAACTTTCTCAAGCGAAAGGTTCCACTGTATAATCCTTCTGTGAATCCGTATTTTCCATTCAGATCCTTACATTTCAGCCAAAGGACGCTGTATTTCTTCTAGCCAGTAGTGAAACAGCAACCTACTTTAAGAGTTTGTTGTTACAGTTAGCTAAAAAGAGATTGCTAACACAATAAAGATTTCCCATTCCCGGGATCATAACAGCTATTCAGATCCAAGCCATCAGCCACACTGGAAGCAAACGCTTGCCACACTGAAATATACATTTCTCTTCCATTGAGCTAAACAAAACAACTCTAGGAAGAGCTAGCTGCTGCTCACCAGCTTACAGACCACTTTCCTCAAATGAGTCAGCCACAGATTGGTAATCAGATATTACAGTGACACTGAGTACAGCTGCATTAAAGATTCATGAGTACGAAAATGCTCAACCTTTGATTCTTGTAGTTTTGACTAAATAACAGATGGTGATGTGCACAACTGTAGACTAGCATGTCCTAACGGGCCATAAATTCACTTCACTTAAGGCAAAGTTATAGGGTACAAGAGGCTCGGGTAATAAAATGACCACACGGTTAATTAAACCCACTCAAAGTACTTTTTCAATCATGACTAAATCTGTCTGTTGAGGACAGCAGATGTAATCGTCTAATGGGATTACTACCGGTAGTGAGATGTAGGGGAGGAGGGTTGCAGATAACCCACACCAGATTGATGCAAAGCCACACGTGGTGCCTTGCTGTTTCCAAGTAAACAGTTAATGAGGCTTCAAGTCTAAGCTCCTCTTAAGCTACAAATGCATTCACGAAAATGAAATTGCAATAGCTTGCTTTCTCTCAAAAATCCATCAGGGATTTTGTCATAGCGGTTAGACCACACGCAGGCTTAAGCTGTTACTTTATCTCCACGGTTCTATTTTGGTGATGAATTTTTCTTTGCCTAAATGACCCACTACAAATACTACACAAAAAATAATTATGTTATTTTTGCATAACATTTGAAAGTAAGAAATTACCTATGAACAGTAGATTTAGTAAAATTAACGTGTCTGCCAGTGAGAAATGGCATATGACACTATTTTCACACATGCAACCTTCCTTATAAGCAACAAGTACAGATCTCAGGGATGCGAGGTTTTGTTTGTTTTGTTTTTTTTTAAGGATCCTAAAAAGCCAAGATACTAAGTATCATACTTTTTCTTTGAAACTGAACATCCAGTTTTAACAAAATGCTCATTTTCTCTTTTATAGCTTCTAATTCTTCTCATGTTTTACAATAGATGCATTTCCCTAGTAACACGACTGTTGCTTCATTTTACAGCTAATTTTATTTTTTTCCTGTTTATATCAAATATACTACTGGCAGACATTTGGAGTGGGCAGGAAATCCTGTATACCCAGCTCATTCTTCTAAGCAAACCCTCCCTTCTCCTCCGTTTTCCTTATAGTAAAAACTCTGACTGAGAATGTCTTTTAAAGTCTGTCACAAGCAATCCAGAGTTGTTCTCAGTTTAACTTCCTGGCCTGCAAATAATCTCTCAACAAATCATTCAACCAAATAGCCATTGAGACCTCCGTCAGAGGAAGGTCCCAGCAGATAAGAGGCATAGTCTTCCTGAGGACAGACAGGTTCACTAGCTAAAAATGGTAGAGGCCGAAACTTTAAAGAGAGAGAAATGCAAAAAGAAAACCAAGACAGAGAGCAGCTGAGGCAGGCTCTCATGTCAGAAACGACTTGCACTCTGTCGAGCATCACAAAGGCAATCAGCGGACATGCAACTGCCTTGCAGAGGCCATTTTACACTTGCCAACCTGATAATCCTCTCCTCCATGTCTTCAAAAACAGAGTTTCAGAAAGAAGCGTTCCCATGGCTTCACACAGGCAAGCACCCCTGAAGTCCTTTTACCTGGTGGTTCACCTCAAATGTTTTTTTACAGCCTTATGCTGTTTGCAGGTGTGCTGGTTTTGGCGGGGATAGAGTCAATTTTCTTCATAGTAGCTAGTATGAGGCTATGTTTTCAATTTGTGCTGAAAACAGTGTGGATAATACAGGGATGTTTCTGTTACTGCTGAGCAGTGCTTACACAGAGGCAAGCCCTTTTCTGCTCCTCACCCCACCCCACCAGCGAGCAGGCTGGGGGTCCACAAGAAGCTGGGAGGGGACACAGCTGGGACAGCTGACCCCAACTGACCAAAGGGATATCCCACACCATATGACGTCATGCTCAGCATGTAAAGCTGGGGGAAGAAAAAGGAAGGGGGTAATGTTCAGAGTTATGATGTTTGTCTTCCCAAGTAACTGTTACACGTGATGGAGCCCTGCTTTCCTGGAGATGGCTGAACACCTGCCTGCCGATGGGAAGTAGTGAATGAATTCCTTGTTTTGCTTTGCTTGCGTGCGTGGCTTTCGCTTTACCTATTAAACTGTCTTTATCTCAACGCCCGAGTTTTCTCACTTTTACTCTTTGGATTCTCTCCCCCATCTCACCGGGGGAGGGAGTGCGAGAGCAGCTGGGTGGTGCTTAGCTGCCAGTTGGTGTTGAACAACAGCAAGCCATGTCAGGTGCAGTGAGCAGAAGAGAAAGACTTTGCCAGCCCTTCTCTTTTCCAGTTAAGGTAGAAAGTAACACCACTAGGCAATTCCTCAGAGCACTTACAGACACATGTTCGGGATCATATGCAGAATTGTGGGGAAGCCCTGGTCTGAGGGCTTGTTTAGGCACTGTTGGCAGGTTGAGACTGCTATCTGGGAGTAACTGTGGTGCTACCACACCATTATCCCTTCATGTTGTCCCACAAATAGTCTATTTTCAAGGACAGCACTCCTGGGCATCCCATCCATAGCAGGTAGAGCTCACTTCACAGGTGCCATGGCGCACATGAGACCAGATTAGGTATCAATTAGAAAATAATTCCAATCAGCCTTAGCTTTTTAAAAGTTTTATAACCTACTACTGTGGCA